GAAAAAAAAAAAAGAAAGAAAAAAAAAAAAAAAAAAAAAAGAGACGGCTTGATTCCAATCGTACCTCCGGCAATGTGCGTGTAGGTGAGGGCTAGCTCGTTGAACCTGCACACATATAGGAGCCATGCCCGCACCCTGTTCTCTCGAAAGGTCAGCTCGCCACTTCCGTTTGGATAAACTCTTGCCGCAGACTCGGGGTCTGGCCAATGTGCTCAAACAGCGCTGTCTCGGCTGGACTGCCATGACCCACCCACCAGTTTTTGACCCTACTGGCGTTCCCAACCCAAGGCGATTGGATGGCCACGTGCTTTAGGACCACTTGTTGCCTGCAGGTCTATCTCTCTGAGGTTTCACTTTTTTTTCATATCAAACTTTGCGCCTGCCAGCTCTGTCAGCCTGTGCCACTCTGTGGACACGAATTGACGGCCTCTCTGTGCTTCGCTGGACGCCGACTTGTGCTTGAGCTGCGCATTTGATAGTCGATTTATGACATTGATAATCATTGATATGAAGACACATGGTGACAGCGACATAGAGATTAAAATAATTTGCACAGATACAAAAAGCAGATTATCGAATTAAGGCGTCACAAGAAAAATGAGCAATCGAAGCCACCGTGGATTAAGCCTCCCACGTGATTTCAAACACTTCACTAGTCAGCGACGTCATGCCTGCAGCATTGACACAGCGCACGGCTATTTGAAGCTGCGCAAGAGATTCTACATTAATGACGTGGGTCGAGCTAGAAAGGTCCGCCGATTCCACCAAAGCCCAGTCCGTCAAGTCCAGAGATCCAGCACGCGCGCCATCACCAAAGATGACAAAGTGTCGCAGCTCATTGGACAGTACGTCTTCTTGGCAAACGCCTTGCAGATTGACTGATACCTCTGGGTTCTTTGCGCCCACAAGTTGGGGGACTACGCAGCACGAAGACCGGAAGGAGTTTATCGATTGGTGTGAACAACAAACACAAAAAACAATATCAGATCAGCTTTGCAATTGACTTACCGGCCGCAATGACGGGTGGCGTGCGGTCAAGAACGACCTCGGCAATGGCCAGCTCTTGAACCTGATTTTCCACGCGGACCCGCGTTGTGACCTATCATTACACGATGCAAAAAGCTCATGAGGACGAGTGGTTCTCATCCTTCAAACAAAAGAAGAAACCTTCCTGAATTTGACTTACGTGATAT